TTAAAGGACTGGGGTGTGTCACACCCCACCTCGTACAGCGAGGGTTAAAACATTTACTCTCTAGGTAGGGTAGGTATAATAAATAAATTACCATCCACTTCCTATGAGCTAACCAGTGGCCAATATAGATTTCATTAGCATATTTTCGAATCGTAGGAAGTGATATCCTTGGATTGATCTTGACATTGATTCTTTGTGCGAGCCGTGAGTCATAGTACCGCACGTGGTAATACATAAGTAACCCTTGGTTTGGTTTGCTAAATGATTAGCTGACGTAGGTGTTCATAATAGCTGCAGTATTTTTCTTCACCTAATTGAATGTTTAGTCTGGAACTAGTGCTTTGGGTTCTCGATTGTAACTGAAACATTTATTTAGCACTCACCAATGAAGTTAACTTACAATCTAAGGCAAAGATTTGTCTTAAAACTATGTAATAGATCTTCAGATAAATTATAAAATTAAGATTAACTTTGGTTTATTGATTTAAAGTTTACTGAAAGAGATAATTTCAGTGTCTTGACTGACTTTGATAAACTGTTATGTACTAAAACCAAGTTCTACTCGCGGAATCACTCACGCACGTGGACTTCGTTCCGTAACGCCATCATCACAAACACTTAACTTCTTGAAATCATAAATAAGTATCTACTTATCTCTTATTAAAAATGTGTCACTTCTGCTCAGTCAATAAAAACTTAGCAAAACGATAGAATTCAAGTTCTTCATGTAGGTAACAATAAATTGTAAAGCTACTTACGTCCTGTAAGTGCAGTCAGTCACTGAAAGAAATGAATAGGTACCTGACTTTTAACAGTTTTTAACATAGGGAATTTCGTTTTTTTATTACTTGGTAGGAATGTAATGCGTTAAAAATGATTTGGAAAGAAGAAAATCTTAGCTTATTTCATGGTATTTGGCCATGACCTACCATGCTGGCCGAATGCCAAATAGCATTAAGAAATATCACAACCGGCGGCGATAAGTTATGTTTTAACGGATAATAAAGTTAAAACTTAATGTGGCTGGGGATTTAATGTTTAAATATTCGATGTGCGTACGAGTTTAGATAAAACACACGTATGTTTATGTTTGAATCACGTTTAAAGTTAAATCATTCGAGGCGTGACGGCTGCCGCACCTGTGTTGCCAGGCTGCAATATTTATAATACATCAGGGTTGCCACTGTTGTATAATATTTCCATCCTGACTTTGAAGTATTCATAACAGAAATTGCAGTGCTACAAATGGATACAAAATAATATGTAATTATATTGCTATACGTACGTAGACCGATATAAAAACATATGAATAAAGCGAAAGTATTTAATTTTAAAGAAAGACAACAGCAAACTAAGCAAAATTAGATACTAATTATGAACAGAATAATGTCGTTTTAACTGATATTAATTTGTTATTGCTATTTTTGTTTTTATTTTAAACTTTAAAGATACAACAAAAGTAAGATAATGCAGAATTGCAGAAAACATACAACGTCACCCCGAAAGCTGTCAAGTGTCAACCCTAGCGACGCCGTGTGTTCCGCGGCGCGGGCGCAACCGCCGCATGTCCGCTTCCTGTGTTCCTGTCTTTGTTCCACCCCTTTTAGGATTCAAACACCGCTTCCTTTTGGTTTGTAAACAAAATCAGTGTTAAAAGCAAATAATTAAGACTGGCACAATCTTTTTTTGGGTTAAAATTTCCCCTTCTTCTTTTGATCTCAACAAAATTAATATTTTTTTTATTATGTAAAATTAATCAACAATATACCTACTTACTTACTTAAATGTGTATACTCCATGCTAAGCATTTGAATCACGAGGCATGATTTTAACAAGCATACACTGACAGATATAATAAGTGTAACTAAACCAAGGTTGACGTAGAATAATAAGCATGCTGATGGTCCAATAATTTGGCACAATCATGGTAATTTTGCTTTGTTACACCATACAGCGGCACATACACTGCCTCAGTACCTTTAACATAATTGCAAACTGGATAATATTAGCATATTAAAATACCGAGCATTGTTAATAACAGCATGTTCTAAGAGCCTTGAATAATTAGGCAAAAAACGCATTATTATAATGCCTTTTCTATCGTTAGACATAGCAGGTAGATTGATCTAAGTGGCACATAGGCACGCAGTACGCAGAAAGGCGTTATCGGAGCTATGGCATCTCGTTTGCGGGGGCTAGTTTTTGTGCGCATCTTCCATCACGAACGGAAGCCGGCCGGGTTCCAGCTAGGGGTGCCAGGTGCGCTGCGGATAGCGGGACAATAGCGAATGGAAACTGGGACGTAAACATCTGATCTGACTGCATAAGTTTTTAAGTCTTTTAGAACGTAAACGGGAGAAAGAAAAAAGAAATCAGCTGTTACTATACAGAGTTGCTATCGATGTAATAGAATATGGAACAGCTGATTTTTGTTTCTCGCTGAAGATAGCGAATCATTGAGCCCATAGTAAAAGTTGTTCATAATCATAATTATATTGACCATTCCTGAAAGCAACTAAGGCCTATTAAGCTCTAGTCAAACAGAGTTTTGTATTATTAAACTGAAAGCTTTCAACACTGTTTTGGTATTGACAAGGGATATTATTTAAGGTTCGGCCAAACCAATGCGATCACACGCGATCAGCCGGCGTGCAGCGATGGCGATCAATGCATTTAAGTCTGGTCGCCATCGCTACACGCCGGCTGATCGCGTGTGATCGCATTGGTTTGGCCGAACCTTTAGGACTGATTTTACTATCATCGGATAACTCTTAACTGAAGAATAAACTTGTCATTTTGACATCTTTCCCACACTGAAACTGTCAATGTGCCAAACTTATTCGTTAGTTAAAAGTTATTCGACCATAGTAAAATCAGCCGTTATTCATTTTTTCTCTTTGATAAGATACTTTAATCCATTTGCCCTTAATCTTTATTTAAAACAATGCAATGATGCAATACGTTTTTAGTAACAAAATCGCTATTTATCTCTAAGATGAAAGCATGCGCCCTCACCTCCTACACGTTTTTAATCCCACGTCTCTTGTAACGGAACGGGACGTCCCACGTACCTGACATCACTATCCTGGTATTCTCCACCAACCCTTTGTTACGCGGCTTGAATGGGCCCTCGACGGGAAGTCGGCACACGTGCTAATTGCCAAAGCAAACAATCAACAATCTAATACGAAGATTGGGTAGTTTACTTTCCCACTCCGCATTCTGCATTCCGTATCTCGTTAACGGGCCGCGACAGTTTCCAATAAATGACTGTTTGATACCTAACGATGATTCTATCGTTATTTACATTATTAGGTATGTCAGCGCTCATTTCCAAACAGTTTCTAAATCTATAACGGGACTAAATCAGTTAATGATACTCATTTTGATTGGTAGAGAATGCCATCTAGCTTTTACCCGCTTAAGCTCAGTGTAAGTTCACCTTTTGCAGTCTGTTATGTAACGTATTGTGTGCAATAAATAAGTATTCCCAAATACATTTTGTTGTACCTAACGAAAATCACAAACGGACTGCAGCACACTTCATTTTTAATCGTCTGACGTCTTATAATTGCTAATTAATTTAATAGTTATTGTTATCAGTAGTTATTGTAAAGAAACCATTGTGTGAGATATAATTTGCAGTACTCATAGCTTCCGCAGCGAAACAGTTATTTATTGATTGGCGAGATTAACGTTTGTGGTATTTCCTGTTATTGACGTGGATAACAAATTTCTATCATTAATATTAGAAATAATTTAGTGCTCATTGTGAATATATCAAACTCTTACACAGCGAAGAACATCATACTCGTACATCCATACAAAAATACCTACATAAACTATTTTATCTAAATTCACTTCACTTTTTAAAACGAATTCATTGTAAATCGAAGAACCTTGTACAAGTTCAGATTTCATCCTCGATGTAATAGAATATTAAGTGTTTTTATTTCGTCGAATTTTGGTGATCCAATAAACCTCGTTCAAAGTTTGCTTTTATGTTGTCTTACTTTTACTTTTGCTTATTTCCTGATTCAATATTACATGCGAATTGATGATGGATTGACAGCATTGATGATCCCCAGACTTATATCCGAGAAGTTCGCGGCAAGTTCAATGTAATTAAGAAGCAAATTAAAACAATTAAAACGTTCGCTTTGCTCAACTCAGAAGTCATTGTCAGTATGAGATCACTCGTGAGCTCATCAAAATATCACTGCCATAATGCCGTGTTTTGTTTACATATTAGAGGAAGGAAAGGAATAGGAATTTGTATATGTTTAGATATTTGTGTCTTAATTAGGTTTACAAGAGAAGTTAAATGTAGTTAGTAAACAACAGATTTAAAAAAAATATCTTCTTTAACTACAATATCTTTGAATGCATTGAAAAATGTTGCTTTTAACATCAATCTATTACAAAATTAAAAATAAGGTCTGTAACTAAGTGCGAAAGATAATTATTATTGAGCTTTTTAAGTGCTGTTGCTCTTAGCGTCTTATTATATTGTTTCGTCAAAGCAATGTCGCTATGTCAATCTCAAAATACAGAAATAAGTTGTAATTTTAAATTGTGTCATTATTCAAGTATGAATAATCCGAGCATTGATCCCTGGCCGGGCGTCATTCTATTTTGGCGCAATTATTTTGACGTACTCGCAGCGGTAATGGCCGATCTCAAAATAACGGGTCGTAGTGGCTGGCTCGATGTCTCATTCATGAAATGAGAACGACGGAATTTTGTTTCGGAACGGAAACGAAATAAAATGTTGTCTAATGCTGGAGACAACAATAAATACCAAACGCAGCATTCTATGTATTTGTTACTATTTTTAAAATTTTCATACTCTCCCCATTCCTAGGCATGTACGAGTATGCTCACCGTCTTTTATTAACCATAAGATGAATAAAAAGTATAAAAACAAATGAAACTCTTCTTNCATGGGCCACCATCATGTATATTTAGATATACAGATAGGAGCTATTGAAACGCCCAGATTCTTCAAGATAGTTTATAATACAAAAATGGCTCTTTACATTGCAAAGGTCGGTAGCGGAATGAGACTGACAGTTGGTTTTAATATGAACTATGCAAACTACTTATACTAATCTACAGTTGATGTTACACGGAGGAAGAATTGTGGTAAAAGTTTGCGTAGGCGTTACGCGCCGAAACATCCTCCCGGCCGTTGAAAGATCACTTTCAACCTTGAAGATCTTCAGTCGTAGGGAGTGGACAGAGGCGAGTTAGGGGCCGCCGCACGCAGCCACGGGTCGTGTTGACATCCGCCACTCTCGAGATGCCGTCGGGTCCCGGGAAGAGCCGCAACACGCGTCCCAGGCGCCAGTTCAAGGGCGGCGCGTGGTCTTCAGCAAGGAGTACCATATCTCCAATATTGAGCTGGGCTGTATTGCTACGCCATTTAGTCCTCTGTTGTAGCTCTGACAGATACTCCTTGTTCCACCTCCGCCAGAAGTGCTGCCTTATGCTTTCTAGCCGTAGATAGCGGTTCCGTGGATGGTCATTGTGGTGGTCTTCAATAGGTGGCGTGGGTAGTGCAGTCAGCGGCCTGCCGATGATGAAGTGCCCTGGGGATAAGGAGAGGAGGTCGTTAGGACAGGAGGACATGGGACACAAGGGACGGCTATTGAGAAGTGCCTCCACTTGTGCAAATAAAGTAGTAATTTCTTCAAAAGTTAAATTAGAATTTCCCATGACACGCTTTAAGTGGTGTTTTGCCGATTTTACCCCAGCTTCCCAAATACCACCGAAATGAGGAGCGTAAGTAGGTATGAATTTAAATGTGATGCCTTGTTGACTTGCAAAATCACCTATAGGTTCTTGGTTTTGTTTTAGAAAAGTTCCTATATCCTTAGCCGCCGCCACAAAGTTGCGACCGTTATCGCAAAATATTTCCGTTGGCTTGCCTCTGCGGGAAATAAAACGTCGAAGGGTCATAACAAACGCATCCTTTGTCAAATCGCTCACGGCCTCGAGATGAATACATTTGTACCGCATGCATACAAAAAGACATAAATAACATTTGATTAAGCGACTTCCGCGGCCCCGGCGATTGAGAATCAAAAACGGTCCAGCAAAGTCTAAGCCAACCGACAAAAATGGATAGTCTGGATTTATGCGCTGGCTAGGTAAGTTGCCCATCTTCGGACATAATGTTTTGCCACGCAGACGCCTGCAGATGACGCAGTTATTTACGGTGCGTCGTGCTAGATAACGTCCATTGACTGGCCAGACTGTTTCTCTTATATTTGCTAACAACAACTGCGGGCCCGCGTGTAAACCACTTACGTGCTCTCTTTCAAAATACAATTTAGTTAATTTATGATTTGCGTGTAATAATATTGGATGCCGTTTTTCGTAGGCACAGGCAGATGCATCTATGCGCCCGCCAACTCTAATTAAATTATCATTATCAAAAAATGGCGAAAGTGACAAAATTTTACTCTTATTGGGAAGCGATTTACATTTTAATAACAACTCGTATTCAACTGGGAATGACTCACGCTGCGCGATAACGCACAATGCATGGAATGAGTCACGAAGTTCCTCGACGGACAGTAGTCCGGTACGTTTATTTTTAATATTCTTAAGGTTAAATGTGAACCTTAACACGTAGGCAAAAGATCGTTGCAGTCTATTTAGTGATGAATATTTATCAAAATTAATAAAAGGTTCTTTAATTATTGTTGTGTGTACTTTAGTTTCAGGTAACGTACCTATCTCGTTTGATTTCAAGCTAGGCCAGTTTAATTCACACTCTTTAAGGTAATTAGGGCCGTGCCACCATAGACTTGAATTAATTAGATTATAGTGCGTAGTAGGGTGACCATAGTTACGGCCTTAGAATTTATGGATTGTTTCTAAACCCTTTTTTTAAATAATGTAAATGTTTTGTAGCTCGTTTATATGTATTTTCTATTTTGTTTTCCATAGTGAATGAAGTTGTAGTTAATGCATGATTACAATGAATGTTTTTGCTGACCAATTGTGTATTAAAGGAACCGGTAATTATCCAGCCCAAATGAGAACTTATTAATTTTGGATTTTGGGGACCAAGAGATCGTTGTTCGCTCGTTATGATGTCCCAGAATAAATCAGCCCCTATCAATAGATCTATAGGAGCTGGCTCATAGAATTTAGGGTCAGCTAGCAATATGTTTTTTGGTAATTTANACTGCATGATGACATAAATAATAACATGTGTCTGGTTGATTAGTTGCAAGAGATAAATGACCTAATTCTGCGTATTCTTTAATAAATTTGCTATATTCAATTTTGAGCAATGGATTTTTTCTAAATCTTTTTTCTAAATAATGTAAACGTTTTTTTGCTAATTTATATGTATCTCCTAGACAGTCAGGTGTATCGACTAATGGTAATTTAACACAAAATCTACCATTATCGTCCCTACGTGTGTTAGTAATGAAATGTTTCTCGCATTCTTTTTCTTTGGTACTTAATAGAGATTTTGTGGGTACTTCTTCTAAGTCCCAAAATTTAGTTAATGTATTTTCTATTTTGCTTTCCATAGTGAATGAAGTTGTTGTTAATGCATGATTACAATGAATGTTTTTGCTGACCAATTGTGTATTAAAGGAACCGGTAATTATCCAGCCCAAATGAGAATTTATTAATTTTGGATTTTGGGGACCAAGAGATCGTTGTTCGCTCCTTATGATGTCCCAGAATAAATCAGCCCCTATCAATAGATCTATAGGAGCTGGCTCATAGAATTTAGGATCAGCTAGCAATATATTTTTTGATAATTTAATTGACTGAATATTGACGGGGTACTTTGGTATACGCCCTGTCAATTCTTGTAGAACAAGACATGAAAAGGAGACATTGAAATTGCTATTTAGAGATTTCATTTGTATTTTGCAACTTTCAGAAATGTTTATAGAATTGTTAGAATTATTGCCTATTCCTTTGACCTTTAGCGAGTCAATGGGAATTGATTTTAGTGAAAGTTTCTCTTTTTACTTTTAAAGTAAAAATACAATTTACATTCTAAAATCATTACATTCGGCCATCCGTCACCGTGATGCCTCCTGGCATACACGTCTCATCTATACTTATAATAAATCTGTAGAGAGGTCAATTCTGTACATGAAATATATTTTCAAAATAACTATCAGGGGGTGATTAGTGATCGATACTGATGCCAAAAATGCAATCAGTAAAATTTTTGTCTGTCTGTCTGTCTGTCTGTCTGTATGTTCCTTATAGAAACAAAAACTNTGCTGGTTAATTGGATTCGAGACCTCAACTACAGCGGTAGATAATAGTACTTGCTTGGTACTTTCTTTAGAAAAGTATGCACCCGATTCGCTGGGCTCATACGTATCTGAATTAGGCTCGTCTACGCAGACGCTCACATGATGATTGACTAAGGAAGCTGAATTGTGAAGCAAACTATTGTGCCTAGCGTTGCACTCGCGGCATGGACCCATTCGGCACTCGTTGACCGGGTGACCTTGCCTGAGACAGTTTTCACACAGCCTATGTTTCAGAACATCCTTCATCCTTTCATCAACATCCTTGGCCTTGAACGTAGAGCATTCATAAATTTTGTGGTTATTATTGCAAATTACACATGTATAAGTGCTAGATTTATTAAATTGTCTTTGAGGCTTATTATTAGAACTCGCAAACGATTTTATGTATGAATTATTATTATTATTGCCCTGTTTATTATTTTGCCATGAATTATTACGCACATTGACCACTGGGGCTTTGACAACAGCACTTTGCGTGTCTTGTGCCCTGTTATTTCGATTAAGTGACTCTAATACATTCGCACGGTCAATAATGAAGTTAAAAAATTGTTCTAAAGTTGCGGTATCACCACTTAAACCACTACGGTGCTCTTCCCATTTGCCTAAAGTATTACTATCTAACTTGGAGGAGAGCATAAATATAATTAAGACATCCCACTTGTCAGTTGGCTGTCCCAAAGTGGCAAGGGCACGCAAGTTTTTAGTAACGTGGTCGACTAAAAATCTGAGAGATCTCTCCGACTCGCGCGGAAGTGGCTTAATGCTGAATAATGCATTCAAATGGTGATTTATTAAAGTGCGCTTGTTATTATACCTATTGCATAACAATTTCCAGGCCTCATCATAGTTCGCTGATGACACCTCGAGATTGGAAATTACTCTGGCGGCATCACCCTCCAGATATGAAATTAAGTAATGGAACTTGTGAATAGGCAAAATACGCAAATTGTTGTGAATTAAGTTTTCAAATGTGTCGCGAAACTCAAGCCAACGGAAATATGCGCCATCAAATTTTGATATTTGTATCTGAGGTAGTTTTAAATTATAATTGTCCTGATTATCCATGCAAAAAGATTCATACATTGATGCACGCCTATTTTCTGACTCTAATTTTCTTGTAAATTTCTCTAAAATAGTTTTGGCAGTGGCAATATTAATAATGATGTCGCGATCAATTTTGTCACGTTCATCAATTTCATTTTCTATATTATCTGAATTTAAAACCTCTATGTCATTTTGCAAGTCATCAACCTTAACTGATAACGCTTCGAATTTTGCAAGTTTTAGACTTAACTCTGTTAATTGAATGTTAGTTAAATCTTCGCTATTAGAAATACTATTTATATAATTCTTAAATTTTGTGATCTGTCCTTTGGCGGACGATCGCCTTGTTAATAAATCCTTCAAACGAGATTTATCTTCCGCGTTAGGCATAGTTATCTAAGAAAATGAACAACTACAATGAAAAATATGAAATAATAAATAAATATGAAAGGCTCACGCTCCTCGTCTCGGTGGTACTTGCCGCAGGAACCGGTCAGCTGGCCGCCGCCGTTATCGGGTAGCCGGAGGTATTAACGCAGCTGTTTGATTGCGCAGCGCAAGCGTTAATTACACCCTGAAATTGTCGGCAATATGCTTTAATACCTATCTTAGATCGAGACGAGTTGACTGTGATGACTAGTCTATGGAAATAATCTCAAAAACAGCTAGTAAATTGCAAAATCTATGAAAAGTTAATTTGTATTTCAATATTTATCAAATATATTATGTATTCATTACTGTATTTATTAGGTAATTGATGTTTAATGCAAAACTATCTTGAAATTTGTTTTTATTTTGTAACGACGGTAGATTCGAATGATGATGCAATCTCGTTAACGAATTACTTGTTATGAAATTCCACAATTATTTAACACAAATGGATGCAGATTCTTAATAGGAGATTTAGGACATGGATTTAGTAAAGGAAGTGTAAGGAAGGGCACTTATCTTTTAGCAGAACCGCCGCGCACGATGTGGAACTTTAGCTGCACCACTGCTCGCACCATCCGGCGTATTTTCGCGTAATTCTTCAATTCTTCATTTGTTGTTTGGATTCCCCTCATGGGCCACCATCATGTATATTTAGATATACAGATAGGAGCTATTGAAACGCCCAGATTCTTCAAGATAGTTTATAATACAAAAATGGCTCTTTACATTGCAAAGGTCGGTAGCGGAATGAAACTGACAGTTGGTTTTAATATGAACTATGCAAACTACTTATACTAATCTACAGTTGATGTTACACGGAGGAAGAATTGTGGTAAAAGTTTGCGTAGGCGTTACGCGCCGAAACAGTGTTTATAGCCCCTTTTTGTGTGAATAACACGTTAAATACCTACAGGTAAAAAATATTTATCTTATGCAATGTAAAAAACCTTTTCTCTATCGTTTTTCAATGTGGATTTCTTGAAATTAAAGACGAAAATAATTATTTTGATCGTTTATTAATTATTACAAATTTTGTTCAAAATGTCCGCCTCGGCATCGTATACACTAAGTAACGACATCTTCTTCTAATTTAGACTGGCCCTATACAGCGGCCTGCACGTTCCCCAGANAACTATGCAAACTACTTATACTAATCTACAGTTGATGTTACACGGAGGAAGAATTGTGGTAAAAGTTTGCGTAGGCGTTACGCGCCGAAACACTTCTTCTTTAAAAGTATTTTAAACAAGAACGCCTACTTATTGAGGTAGGAACACTCCGTGGTATTTCAGGGACACGTTTTTATTGTGATACCCGTACTTCATTGTTTTTGTTAAGTTTCTTGTCGCAAGAGTGAATCGAAACCTTTACATAATAGTAACTACTCTAACCGGAGATACCACAGTTAGTCACTTGATTCTTTAATGCAGTATACAAAAACGACAACAAATTGCTTGCTTTTTGTATGTATGCCCTTTAGTTCTTGATTAAGATTAACGAGTTCTATAACTTGTTTTTTCTTAATTTGTTAACTCTTTAATTACGCTCCTTCTATGTCTTGTACTTATAGAATACATGTTCTAATATCAACAAGTAAGTTGTTAAATAACTATGTTGAAAGGGGGTCCATTCATGCATTACCTTTACTCCATACTCGTACTACTACGTTAGCAATACTAATTGGAAGTTAATAACGTTTACTTTGTTAAACTGGGGCTTTGTAAAATTAACTCTTAGTGTAATTAGCGAGGAAAATATAATGTTATTGGCAAAGTAGATACTTACGTTATTTTAACTGGCCACAAATAATAATAATAATACTCGTACGAGTACAAGTAAATTACAATGCTACTTATGTCATAACTTAAAAAAACATTTATAGGACATGTTTTATGACCTCTGTGGAAAAGTTTACCCGATAATGCTATAAATATACCTACCTATGACTTAGCATGGTTTACTGTAGACTGAAGGTTGTTTTAAAAACAATGGATGATCTCAACGGGAAGCATTGTCACCATAGAAAATTATGAGCTAAAATATACACATAATTATCAAAACATACTTAACTCTACGTTAGTGATGTTGCAATGTGTTAAAAACAATGCATAATTTCATAGTGGCGTTCCCGCGCGCGCGTACGCAGAATGTTATCGCATGTGAAAAATGTGCCGTACGCAGGAAACGATAGTTCGTATGTAAAGTGAACATTTTGCAACACAGAGTAGATAATACAGTCTACTTAAAATTCATGGAGTTTCCTTCACCCAAAACTGATGATAACTGAGACAGTCACTTCCAAATACTTACAAAAGTATGTGTAATTTTGTATTATATTTGTTGTTGTACGGTATTGACGTTTAGTATCAAAGCATTAAATGCAAAACAAAACGATGCTTTATTAGCATTCA